GCCCACTTCCCAGCATCCTGATGCAGGCTGTTTGTGGGCCTGTTTTTGAAGTGCCAGTATAAGACAGCCCTGTCCTCTCCTCATCCCTTCACCTGGAAGGAAAATGTGGGTGTATAATCACTGGGCTGTTGGGGCTGTCCCTTCCCACAAAGGTGGTGTGCTCTTACCCACAGCTCCTGTGCCAGCACCGTGTTTGATACTTAAAGTTTGCTTTTTTTGTGCTAGTGCAGTACAGACTGGTTGGATTTATAGAAGAATGTCCCAGACTCCTTTTCCAAGCATGTTGTTTGGATGTTTTTTTGTTCTTGTTGTCTTTTATGCTCTTTTTCAAAGGCTGCATGTTTTCTCCTCGCTCCAGGGTTATTTTTGTTTGGTTTACCCTAACTTCCGTGAACACCTAAGAAGTCACTACTGTGGTCCTTTGTGCATTTAGCAATGCTCCCCACTAGGAGAAAGTTGGCTTGCAGGACTGGTCATTCACAGTTTTTGTTTCCGGTGCCCCAAGCTTTTATTTACTTATACATTAACATTTGCCATGCCTGATGAGACTGGGTTTTGCAGTTGGTGTCAGTGACACAAGTTGCGTGTTTTCTAGCAGTCTAGCAAAGGGATAGACAGAGAACAGAGCTGTTGTCACAACTGGAATTAACATGCCATATGGTCCCTACATCACCTTTCTCTTCTATATTTATCTACCGCAGAAAAATTCTTGAAAACAGTCTTCCATTTCCAAGCTCTAGTCTTCAGTGCAAACTGTTTCTTTTTCTTCCCCGACTTCCTGCATTTTGTTTGCAGGAGGCACTGTTGTTCTTAGACTAGCAAATAAAAAAATAACTCCCCGGCTGCTAAAAATAACCTAGCTGTAACTCTATAAAGAATCAATTTCTGCATTTTTTTGCCTTTTAAGCAGGAAAGTTGTTTAGTATTCCCAGTAGATTGGCGTCTCTGTCGTATCTATTTTTCTCCAGTATGGCAATATAATCTCTGATCCATGGATCTGTTAGTGATGTTTTCTCTTCAGTTTGCAGCTTCCCATTGCTTTATTAAAGAAGTTCAGTCTAAGCTTATATAACTTTAATTCTGGGTTGTCGGGGGTTTTTGTCTTCAAAATAGGTTATATGTAATTTCTGCCAGTATTTTACGACTTTCAGTCAAAATTGCTTCACCAAAAGTAATCTGATGAGTAGTGTAATAAAACAGGATTTAGCTGTGCGTGTTTCTTGAAAAACTTTGTCCTGCTTTGTCTCTCCAAAAGGCTTCATTTTTGTACTTTCTAAACTAAGCTGATGATATGAAGGGGATTCAGATGCTGTTTGAATGACATTTGAATTATGAAGAGCTGAAAATACATGTCTAGACAAATATTCAAAGTTCAAAAGAATCTAAAGAGGTCAGAAACAAAATGTAAAACTGTAATTAACTGTTCAAAAGTTAATCCCAAAGAAAACTATTGCACGTTATAGAGGAACCTCAAAAAGGGTGTAATGCCATAAAATACTTGGGAATATTACTATCAAGGGTCTGAAATACAATGGGATGGAGCCTTACAGCTGTTGGCTATGTAAAGACGCCCAACTGTATATACTGCAGAGGCGACTTGTAGACAGTTGTAGATGCTTTATCCCTTGTGGGAGATGAACAATATTTGAAGGATTTCAGGAAAGAAAAGCACAAATGTGAGAAATTAAATTGAAGGCAAAATAAAATTGAAATACAAAAGAAATAGGTGATGTGACAAGAATCATGAGTTAACAGAGAAAAACATAAAAGTACTCATTTTGTAGGTGCATAAACCCAGAGAATGAACTGCTACAGAAATTGGGAAAAGGCTCTAGCACTTGTGGTCTCTAGTACTAGATCTTACAAGCCATTAGATAGTAGAGAATAATCTTCAGTTGTCTGGGTAATGGACTGGAGAAGGGATCAACTCCTTTTCCTAACGTCTGTAAGTCCTAATTGCTTATTAGACTTTTATATGTATGAAAGTTATGAGAAGACTGTCTGTCTCTCTGATTTTCCTGCAGATCTCTCACCAGTGAAAAAAAATTGTGTCCTATGAATGAACTTTCCTCTTTCTCTAGAAACCTATTAACTAAATTAGACAATATGAACTTTACTTACTGTGACAGATCTGCTTTCTGTTGGCATGATACAAAGATGATACTGGCTTTTCTTCCCTTTATAATTTCATTCTCAGGTCTTTCATGTAATGTATGTCCATTTACATGAAGTGTGGGGGCTCTTTTTACCCCAGATTGGATCTATTCTGACACATCTCCTTATTCTGTTTTCTAAAATTGAAAAACAGATAATCCTTTAGATTGGAAAGGACATTTAATATCATGAAGTCCAACCCTTAACCTGCTGCTGCCAAAGCTACCATTAATGTGTCCCTAAGGACCACATCTCTACATGTTTTAAGTATCTCCAGGGATGGTGACTCAAGCATTTCCCTGGGCAGCCTGTTCAAGTGCTTTTGGGGAAAAACTTTTCCTAAAATCCAATGTAAACCACCCGTGGTGTGACTTGAGGCCATTTCCTCTTGTCCTATTGCTTGTTACCTGGGAAAAGAGACCAACCCCCACCTCTCTAGAATTTCCTTTCAGACAGTTGTGGAGAGCAATAAAGTCCTCTCTGAGCCTCCATTTCTCCAGGCTAAATAACTCCAGTTCCTTCAACTGCTCCTCGCAGGACTTGTGCTTCAGACCCTTCACCAGCTTCATTGCCCTTCTCTGGACACTCTCCAGCACCTCAATGTCTTCTTTTGTAGTGCCCAAAAGTGAACACAAGACTTGAGGTGCAGCCTCACCAGTGCCAAGTACAGAGGGACAATCATTACCCTAATCTTGCTGGCCATGCTATTTCTGGTCATGCTCCAGGTAAAAGATCCAGTAACATTTATCCAAAACCCGTTAAAACAAAGTTCCTTCTCGTAGTAGGACCTGTCCAGATTGGTTTTCCCCTTCGTGAATCGTTTGCAATGATTCTACGGCAAGCTTGGCTGCTTTATTTGCTAGTGAATATTCAGTAGGTTTTGCTTCTCTGGTGAACTCTCTGTTAATCTTTGGCTAAGCCTATAGCCAGTGGGAAAAAATCCTCCCAGGTTACCTTACTTTGGACTGCCCATGCTGCCTGTGCTCGAGGATGTCCATGGGGGAGCACTGCAGTTTTGAGCCAACAGGATAAGAATTATGGGGCAAGCTAAAATTGCTATCCATTAAGCCTTTCCCCTCTGGATTCATGTGTAATTGAACAGTTGTGCACACAGTTGTGCAAGAGCCATTCTTTTGTATAAACAGACTAGTTACTGTGTTGCGTGAAGTGTATAATCCCTTTTTTTATTTTTTTTTTAAGAACTACAGTTGAAAAAATACAAATGTTGAGTCGGACAGCTAGAAATCAGCTTGAGTAGGTGTGGTTGTAAAGGAGCTGTTGGAGCTTGCCCTGCCTGGGACAGCTTCAGCCACTGCAGGAGACTGGGTGCTGGGAAACTCAAGCTCCAACCTTCCAGGGAATAGCAGAACCCCAAGGGAAAAGAGTCAGGGCTTCCTCCCTTTCACCTTCCGCTAACATGGGACCCAGCTACATTTCTCACCTTCCTGCAGCTACTCGAGTTTTACTCTCTCGACTGTGGGAGGGTTGGCTTTGCAGAAAGGTGGGTAGTCTGCTGGTTTGACAGCCTCAGCACCCCAAGTGCTGTATTTATCACCAGGGAGGTCTGGCCTCGGTGCCGGCTCCCCCCCCAGCGTTTGTCAGCGCTGGGTCGAGGTGCCGGCACGGCAGCAAGCAGCCTCCAGCAGAGATAATTCTTATCATGTGTGCTGCTGGCTCAGCTCCGCTTTTCCTCACATGGTGACAATTTCTGCCTGCCATCGGTTCCCCCTTTGTATCCCAGTCATGCAGGCAGCAAACACAGCCAAAGGATGTGTCCTCATGCAGTCTTAGTGTTTGGGACTTCAGTCTCCAGCAGCAAACTTGGGGAAAGTGAATTCTTCTTCCTAATCTCTTTGCCATTTCCTGACATATTTGTCATAAAATGTCTCCTATGCTGACTTTGTTCTTTAAATTGCAGTGGGACTGTTGTCTTGTTCAAGATGCAGGTCAGCAGGAAAACAGTTAAGTGTGGAAAAATACGCCGTTGCTGTTCACCGGGGTCAGAGCGACCTAAATTCGAAATGGTCTGTGCTCCGTGGCTGATCCAGCATCCTCAGGCTGCAGCCTGTCTGTCTGCTGCAGTTGCAGACCAAGAACAAATTTTGTTGAGGAGCAAGATTTCCACCAATTTAATCTACTAAAATTTGGAGTTTAGAAATCTGGGGCAAAATGAAGGGAAATAGTGAAAGCAAGAGAAAGAAATGCAGAAAAAGAGAAGTTGTAATTGAGAAGTTTGAGTGAAGCACAAGATGTGTTTTGGTCATATGCTGGAGTGTGTTTCAGCAGTTCAATTTGTTAATTTTCTAGAACAGGCATGAAATTGCTATATTTATGTATATTAAAATTAATAATAGATTACAAAAGCAACCCGTTAGCTTTTTTTGGGTGGGAGGAGAAACTAAGAGCTGCCTGAAGGCAAAACATTTCTAATTGTTTGGGGTTTTTTTTAGTTTCATTTTTTTAAGAAAACTCCTTTTTTATTGTGTGTTTTGCTGTTGCCCACACTGATGTTGGAGGAGAGCATCTGTGCAGTCTGCATAAATTGATTCAAAGGGTGGCCGACTGTGCTCGGTGCTTCCTTCAGGTCATGGCTACCACAGTTTACTGCTGTCTTTTAGGTGTGCATGAGCCGGGACACACACGTCCAAGATGTGGGAGTGCGAGTTTTAGGAGCACTCGGCAACAGCCCCCGCACATGCCGAATGTGATGCCTGCTCACAGGAAAATACAGAACAGAAAAAGCCAGGGAGGTTTTCCTGAGGAATAGTAAGGTGAAGCTTGTAGGAGCATGCCTCGCATTGCTTTTGCTGTTAAAAGCAGACACATTTTTTTTTGTTTCCTTCTAGGCCACAAAATGCTCCCGACTTCTTTCCTGATGCCCAGTGATGGCATCAGTACCCCAGGGAAGGGATCCTGCGCTTCCCTCTTGGACAAGGGACAAACCCTGGGTCAGTGGTGAAGACTCAGGAATGTTTTTTCCAAGGTCTGTCTAACTAATCTGAAGAATTTTTGGGGTTTTGATAGGGTTTTGAGCACAACAGAAGTGAAGGTTTGGGTTGGGTTCTCTCCCACACCTTTTTTCCTTGATTATGAGAAATTTCTGGGTGGTTGTGCTGGTTGAACAATCCAGAGGAAAACAGCAACATTCCTGCAGGGGCTTGCAAGAATTTATACTGGGTTTTTGCTGACACCTATTTTTATATCAGAGATGGCAAAAACATACTGACATATCTAGTCTGTCTGCTTGGGAATACATTTCATTTCCATATGCATCCAGCCTTGCAGTGGGTTTGATAAGCTGGGTTACTTGTTTTAGCTCATCTGTACTTCTCCCTTCCCTTGGAGCTGATCCAGAAAAATATCTTGAAAGAGAAGGCTTTGTGTGAGGAGAATGAAATTTAATTTGCATTATGAGGAAAATTTGAAAAGTTTTCACAAAATGTGATGACTAGATTTGATATCCTGTAGTTTTAGTTAGTCCAGAAGAGATTTTTTTTTTTCTTCTCTCTGAATCCTAGTAATCTGTGGGGATGGTGATCATTATTATTTTTATTCTTTGGTATTTTGATCTAGGAACTAAATAATTTCTTTAATGAATAGGTTTGCTCTCTATCTCTGACGGTGTTTCTGACATTTTCCACTTACTCTTATCTCCCCCTGCCATGAGGTAGGTTGTGTTTACTCTGTATAAAATTTTTTGCATTATAAACAGTGACATTTGCTTAGGATTTTCATCCTTCTCTGCGGGAATTGGAAAAGTATGCACGGTAGGAAAGCAGTGTTTTTTTTGGCATTCAGAACAAAATATATCAATAAATACTATAAACATACACACACATATACACATATATGTAATATAAAAAAGTTAATATTTCCAATTAGTGAGTCTGGAGGAGGGCAGTGGATGGATCACAGGTCTTAGGAGCAGTGGCTGAGAGAGCTGGGGTTGTTTATCCTGGAGAAAAGAGACTCCCTTCAATAAGGGGACCTTATTGCTTTCTGGAACTACCTGAAAGTGAACTGGGAGTCAGTCTCTTCTCCCAGGTAACAAGTGGTAGGAGAAGAAGAAATGGCCTCAAGTTGCACCCGGGAAGGTTTAGATTGGGTATCAGGAAAGTCTCTTCACTGAAAGGGTGGTCAAGAATTGGAACAGGCTGCCCAGAGAAGTGATGGAATCACCATCCCTGAAGTGTGGCATGTGGATGTGGCACTTGGGGATACAGCTTAGTATGATGAACATGGTGGTGCTGCATTAATGGTTGGACTCGATCTTAGAGGTCTTTTTTTAACCTTAATGATTCTATGATTCTAATTATCTCTTTTCAACTTCTAAGCTTTCTCCTGCAACACTGAAATTAATGGCAACATTTTGACATTTCAGTTACTCATTTTCTACTATAGCTACAGATGGTGAATGAAAGAAGGTAAATGAATTCAAGCAGGGAGAAAAAGCTATTTTATAAGGATTAATAACATGAAGTCAAAAAAGATCATGAGTGAACTTTTAAAGAAGTTTTCACTGGCAGGATGGCATATATTTATCTTCCAAAGCATGCATGACATCACGTGAGAAAGGTGCAGTCTGCGACATTGATATAATGTGAAAATGTAGCACTTACAGATTTATTTAGCAATTTAGGGGGATGCTACCCCAAGTTATTGTGCTTCTATGTACTTAAAGAGAAATGCACGTAGGTATTTAGGTCTTGCACATTTACTGACATGAATTTTTTCAGAAATAGCAGTAGTTGTTCAACTTTGCGCACTGTGGAAAACAGGTATATATTCATACTTGTTAAATTTATTTTTATCTGCCTAGAAGAAAACCAAAAGATTTACCCAAACACCATGCCCAAAATTCAGAATACTCTATGTTTTTGCTGAAGTCTTGGAGCAGTTACAGAAAACTAAAAGAACCTAGGAAGAAGGAATAAAAAAAGCATATGCAGTTGTTTATTTTAAATACTCCCCAAATTGGTGATTCTGACAGATTTTTCTTGTGGGCTGTTGCCTCCGGTACATTTTAAAATATGAGGCTTAAAAACCTGATTTTTTGATGTACCTACTTATTCCTGTTTTGTCTTATCCTTTTGCTTTTTTCCAGATATTTTTATCCATGTATTTTAACCCTATATTTTGTAGCGAAATTCAAGCTTTCAAAAAGGTTCACAAAATCAGCAATTTAGCGTATGGTTTGTCACTTTTATAACAGCTGTAAATAAATAAATAATAAAATATTTACAGCACAAGGGCAGGCAGTTTTTGTGATAGCCCCTTTTCATATAAGATTACAGCTAAAAAGAGGCGAAGTGCTAAGTTTCATAATTCACCGAAGTTTGACACTTTTAAAGTTTGTGTTATAACAGCACTTCATAGGCTATAGATGGGGCTGTTTCAAGTTCTGTTGTAAATCTGACTTTACAAGGCTCTAATGTTCTGTAGGCTAATAAAAATCACTCTAGGATTGAATGTATGAAATAAAAAATTTGGTGTTTTTAATATATTTTAATGCTCAGGGTATTTTGTCATCTTAGATTTTTTTCACCAAAATTGCATTGCTCTTGAATTTTGTAATAAATCTTAAAGCTTACCTTCATGTCTGAGGGAGGAGGGGGAAGAAAGCAAAGGAAAAAAGAATAAGGCATCCCAGACATAGAAGTCTTGTGTCTGCACAGTAAAGTTTAAGGTATCAACATGAGCTTTTGGCACTGGAGAAAAGGGCATAAATATTGAGCATGAAATATAGTGTAATAATAAGTGATAACGTTTTCACATGGTTAAAGTATAAGCCTTCCATGAGCTACAGAGGATGAGGATAAGCTGTAAGCCCCAGAAAGTTGGCTTTTCTGGAAGACTGCCCCTGTGCACTGCACATCTCTCCTTGTTTGAAATGCCTGAGTTTAAGCAGGAGAGGAAATTGTCTGACCTGAAATTTTGAGGTTTCACTTAGTTTTTGCATAGTATTGTTTGAAGGATTCACCTGCTTGGCAACATACTATGAAAATGCAAACAGTTTGGAAGCGTGATCTAAAATATACATCTTGATTCTGCGTAAGCAGCGGTAAGTCACAGGAGAATTTAACCCTCAATCAGCATACTGCACTTTGCCATGTAGGTGATCGTGGTTCAAGGCAGTGCAGGGCTGCCATAATGTTCCCAGAAACCTTGCTCCCTTCTCTTTGCGGTAGTGATGTGAGAACAGTGAAAACTTAGGTTCAGGAATACTGTATTAACATTTCCCTCAATCCCCATGCAACTTTGTAATTTATGCTAGTTGTGTTCAGTATTGAAGTAGTTGTTTCTGGCTACCTTGTCTAATCTGGAAAGAGTGGAATATCACACACAAGGGTGCCACCACCCCGCCTGTGACCTGCAAGGCTTACAATGGCCTTGTCAGCAGAAAGGAAATCCATTCAAGAGCAATAAACATAAGGGCAGGAGGGACTCTGGAACAAAGACCTGCAAATTTCTCCTGGCCGTTCTCCTTCCCCTGCATCTGTGGGCTTGATCACATTAGTTTACTAAGTGAAATATAATAAGCTTTCAGAGGGTCAGGGCTTGGTGGCAGTAGCATGCTATCCTCCTTCACCAGGTTGTGTCCTAAGCATTGCTGTTCTGTGCCGTTTCCATGCACAGGGCACATTGGATTTTTTTGCTGTTTGGTGAAGAAGAGAGAATTGAGGAAGCTGTTGACTCTGCCCACCACATAAACTATGCCGTGCAGACCCACAGGAGCCCCAGCAGTCACAAACCCTGGCAGACAATGCACATTTTGGACAAGGGCACACTGTTGTTTTGTCTCTAATTCACAGCCACTGGGAGGGACCCTGTGGGCTGGGCTCATTTGGACTGACAATCAGGCTTGCATTGCGCAGGTGCACAAGAGACCTGCCAGGAGAAGAAGGGGAAATCAGCATAGAATAAAAGCAGCTCGAAAGGATAGCATGTCCTGTGACCTTTGTCCCTGATGAGGTGGCCAGCTGTCAGCTCCTCCCATCCACCTCCAACATGACCTTAAGTACAGTTTAAGACTGCTGGCTGTTTATCTAATGTCTTTTGTTGTTCTTTATACGCACTTGCAGCAACTTGTGTAAGGATTCAAACATGAACATAAAAGTGTCTTTTCAGATTTTTAGGTATTGCCTTCATTCTGGGTATTTAAGAAGCTATAGTCCACAGATTTCCTTACACTTAGGCAAGAAAGTGACTTTTCTTTCCATTAAATGCTGTTGTTTCAAGGGAGGGAGGGAGGAATTGAAAACTAAGGGGACTTCTGAAACTAAGTCCCCTTTAGATATCCTCTGTGGTAAAAAAACAGTCTTTTTTAATAGTATAGTTCTTCATATAGCTAGACCTTCACTTCAGCACTTTTGTATGCTGCATTGTTTGTGTTTTCGAACTTGAGCTTAAAACTGCTAGGGCAGCTGGGGACTTCTTTTCCCTAGCTCTGGTATATGAGGAATTACTGGACCGAAGAGAAGTTCCCCCAAGAAGGAAGACAGGGACAAGAACTTCAGGTGAGCACATCAGGACTCCTCCTAAAGGAAGGACATTAAGGTATGTTTGGTGGTGTGAATGCTCTATTTGCCTCAGTTTGCATCCTTTGAATTCATATTGTACTGAAATCATGCTCTATCAGGCAGGACAGTTGTTCAAGTGCCCAATGCTGTGAGATTGCATGACAGCAAAATCCTTTTATAATGATAGCACCTGGTTGGAGTATATCTGATTGTGTGTTAGACACATTAGACATAGGAAGTTTTGTTTTAGGAATTGTAAAATAATGTGCCTGCAGGCAACTGTGAGGCTTTGGTGTGAGGAGGACTGTGGAGAATGGTTTCAGAGGTGTAATACAAAAAAAATACTTGCTCATTTTAAACCTTTGTGCCCTCTGTAGTTTGATTTCAAAGTAAGCAAACTCTTACTTGATTCAGTTTCTGTTCCTAGGAGGGTTTAGTTACGGGGCAGAAGCACAGACAAGTT